AGCTTCACATGACTGTGTCGTATATACAAAGCCAAATGGTCTCTCGCCATGCGCAGCCTATCACTTTGTCATCGTATTGTAGTATAGCGAAGGTACACCACATGTTGAAAGTTAATAGGACTGGTCGTTTAACAGCCTACTTTAAATAACTCCTTAACAGTCGATTATGGATCTCGGAACCCTTCCTGAAAAACGCAGAATGATGAAGTCGTATATGGTCTACTGTACACCCACCATCTTCCAGAATAGTTTTACTACAAAACAACCAAACCATTATCTCATCCTCTTTTACCTAGGAAATATTTGCGAGAACTGATGTCGAACACTTTCCAATAGACTGAGCACTATCTTATATGTATGCCCAGGCTTATGGCAGAACGATAAGGAAAGGGCAAAAGAATGCAATGCGTGCCAACAAGCGAATGTTGCCTGACACAAAATTTTATTCCTGAGAGAATTATTTGCGCTAGATAAACTCTACGCTTAAGGAAGCAGTGCCCTAAGAAATCTGCTTTATTTGCTTTGCTTGTATTAATATTTTGAATACAGAGCCGAAGATCCGACTTCGTGATTGGGTTTCCATGTTCTCAGTACTAGTAAGTGGGGCTCATTTTGAGTTCAAACTTCGCAAGAACCCGTCGAAACGTTATAGGTCAAATGGAATTCGCTGCAGAGTGTATCAAACACCCCAAATATATAGTAGGACCCTTCTATTTTTAATTTAAGTTCATCCTAAAATTACATTACGATGAAACACGTTCGACAGAGTACATTCCTAATGTCATTTTGTGAATATGGACTACCATTAGGGCTATAGCTTAAAGTTCAGCAGATGAACTTGTTTCATTGCAGTAGGAACAATTCCGAAAGAGTTTGTGAGCGTTTATGCTTGGAAAAAATCTCCGTAAGCTAGTGTATGTTGTCGGGTTACGAGATTATGTGACATGACCAACGAGTACTGGCACTCCACTAGGTCTTCATGAAACAATTTACATCGATAACACTATCAAATGTCGACTAGGATACATATGAGTGGTATCGGTCCCAGCATATCTTCACATCACTAACTAATCCTACACCTTTGAATCCATAGTAAGAAATGAATCAACTCTGGAGTACTCAAGAAGTGAATGGTGAAATCTTTACTAGGTAAAGTCAAATAACTGGCAGCATTAGGTTATCGTACTTTTGCTCTGAAAACTGAGTGCGCACTGTTAATCTTTACTTATTATGGGAACTAGGCTGACTTTCTGGGCATAGGAAAATAAGAATGGGTAAGCAGTTGAAAACTCAGTTTCCATGGATACACAATACAACCCTAGATGCTCAGATCTGTAAGTGAATAGTTAGATTTCAGCAGCAACTACATAGCAGATTAGTACTTTGATTCTTTATATAAAGCTACGATTTCCTAATAAGTAGCTTGAAACACTATATAGTGTTGTGTATCAGACTGTCACAAATACGTGTCAGAAAATCACTACCTGGCAACCTTAAGCAAAGGAACCAGATTTTAAGCAAGTTACTGTTAATGGCAATCAAATGAACGTTTCTAGCCGTACCCTCGACGTCGTTTTGAATCTAACATTTGGAAATTATACAAAGGATCAACTCTATGGGTGCAGCTGTTATAATCAAAACCTGGTTGTGGAAAACATTCAGACAGACACCGCCAAATACACGAACATCCTGAATGAATATCTTCATATACATGCCTAGCGGTAATCTGATCTCTTTGCATCACTTAGGATTAGCTTCTTATCGTTTAGATGCATACTGCTGCTTAAAAATTGGCCTACATAGATAAAAGAAAGTGAGGTTTGTAAGCGATCTGATCATTAGACGTATCTGGAAGTAACGTCAACCATGCATAACCGACAGGAAATAAAATCTGGATATGGAATGATTTATTTTTAAACACAAAATAGGTTGAATACAGTCACCAAAAAATGCGCTATTTAAAGTAATTTAATACTAATGAAAAGCTCAGAAAGGAAAGAGAATAGTGCGAGTGACTGATCAGTCCCAAGAAATGTTAGAAGGTTCCCACTTCATCTTTATTACTTTTCAAAATCAAAAGGAAAAATAAACCAAACGACCATCACCAGTTTTGATTTTTCAGGAAGGTATCTCACCTAATTACGGCTTTCTGGATCACTAACTGATGCTAATTTAACATCACAACTTTCCATACTATAGCACTACAGCATTCTCTACCTCTCGTTGCCGATAGCTACTATATCGACGTGGTTGGGTGGTCAAGCTCACATATCGAAGTGATCCAACGAGCTAAGCTGGTGGAGCACTTATCCTCTGGAGTTCATACCATGCCAGAAAGGTAGTAAAACGTAAAGCAGTTACCATTGTGTGGTGTAAATTACTACAATATGACAGAGGTCTGAGGGTGAAGACCTATTGCTGCTGGCTAGACGGGGAATGGTAGCAGTAAAGTGTTTCCCTTGGATGACCAGCAGTGCCACGTCGATGCCGTCTTCTCAACAGAAAGAGGATTAGAAAAGCTCAACCCGAAAAATAACTCACTGCCTTTGGCCTCACAGTCTTCCGTGTTAGGCGGTATGGGTTCACTCGATCTCGTGTTAGAACAACCAAACCTCAAAACAACATCACAAAAGCCAGTGTGTGACAAACCTCAAGCAGATGTTCCATAGGCTCTGCCGTCACACAAATCTTTTTATCCTCCAGGTACATGCAGAAGAAATAGCCTTCCACAATGTAAGCAGCTGGGAAGTGTCAGCCGCCCGTACAATTCCAGTAGTGCACAAGACTCAATCAAATATAGCTTTTTCCTCTCAACTGTCTCCTCCTTCGCCTTCACTTTGTGATGCTAATATTAAGCCTCACACTTTAGCCAACCTCTCACTTTGCAACTATTCGCAACCACCAAAGTCATCGAAGCTTCATCCTCCTAAGATCTCGTCATCGATTTCAGGTAGATTTCAACATCCAAACTCTATGTCGTATGGCACGGCAGGCATCGCTCACCAAAACTCTGAAAACTCTAGCCACGGATGTACGCTCTGTCTCTGAGACATGTGTACAGGACCCAAGTGTGGTCATTAATTTATCCTCACCTGGCAATAGTAGTGAATAGTAGTAGTGAGACCAACCGACGCCTATTCGTAATCTCCACTTACGCACCCAACAACTACAGCTACGGTGGTGCAAAGGGTGAATTCAATGAAAAGCTGTCAACTTTGCTACTCCAAGAAAAACGTTCAGACGTAGTCATAATGGCAGATAGATTTAACTCTCAGGTGGGGGAGGCAAGCTAAACAGAAAAGTATTTATTGGGTCATCACGGAATCGCAGTCAATCGGAAAGGCATGCCGATGAACAGACAACGCCGATCGTCTGTTTCAATTTTGCTCCGACAACCACTTGTTTCTAACCAGCATCAAATTTAGGCGTAAGGAGAGACAATGTTTAGCATGGCGTCCGTCGACTTTAAACAAACGATGAACCCAGACAGATCACATTACTATGAGTTATTGCTAGAGAGGATTGGTGGATTACCGCTCTTTCTAGGGTACCAGTTTTTACTCCGATCACGCGTTAGTACGGACTCGTGTAAGTCTGTGTCTTACTGACCGCAGGAAACAGAGGGAAGTGGGACCCATTTGTGCTCGATTGGTACATGAGGACGCCAAGTACGCATTTAGACAGGAGTTAGCTAAGCATTTATCTGAATGTGACAGTAGTGCTCATCCTGAGGAAACCTGGCGTGACATTACGTCTGCTGTAGAAACAGCAGTCGTGAAGACAACTGGTAACCTACACTAGAAGGTTAGCAAACGTCATTAGATTTCCGCAACGTCGTCCAAACTGATTGGTGTGAAGAATGATTCCAGCTGACTCTGACCAGGACGAAGAGCAAAAGCGAACTAAACGTAAGTTGACCAAGAGTCATCGTGTCAATCATGAGTAGTGGTGAGGGGCGAACGCAAGAGAAATAGAGAAGGCATCAGCGTTAGGTAACATCCAGGAACTATTTAGGCTTGTTAAGGATACCGGTAAGAAGTAAACGAGGGTGAAACCATCACCGAAAATAATGGGACGCCGGTAACCAGCTGCTAGAACGTTGGTCGGAACACTGAAGCATAGTTCAACTGGCCCGCAGTCACACTTCAGTTGCTCAAAACTCGACGGGAACCTGAATGGAATGAAGATATCGGTCCCTCAAGTCTCCTTGAAGTTGGGAACGATGTGTCAAACCTGAAACGATGCAAAACAGCAGGACCTAACATTTTCCCACCCGAAGTTTTTACAGATGGAGGTGGAAAAATGATAATTAAAGTGACCGAGTTACTAGCTAATTATGGGGATCAGAAATAATGCCGTCAGACTAGTCTACACCACTAACCATTCCAGTCTATCAGAAGGGAGAGAAGTGCTCTTGTGACAACGATAAGGGAATCAGTTTGACTAATATTGTGTCTAAGATCCTCGGATCCACAATTAACCGACGATTAGCTGGAGCTAGAGAACAGCAAGCTGGAAAAATCAGGCAGGTTTCAGACGTGGACGAGGTCGCATGGACCAGCTTTTCACGCTTTTGGAACACAGGCATACCTACTGACGGTCGACACTTGCCATATTTCCTGACTAGAAGGTGACATTTAACTCTGTCCATGAGGTGATGTCGCGGTTTTTAACTGTGAACGGAGTACCAAAAAATTATATAACGCTAATCAACGCTGTCTACTCCAACCCACTCAGCCGTGTAAGGGTTAATAGAGAGTTACCATGTGAATTAGCGACAACTAGTGGTGTACGGCAGAGATGCCAACTGTTACCGTTCCTATCAAACTTCATTAAAAAGATGTACTGATGAACGTAACCTTAATTATGTCTGACTTTGCAGAGACTGACCTACTCTCCGGAAGTCATTTAGTTGACTTGGAAAATGCAGACGATATTGTCCTGTTAGGAGAATATGCTGACAGAACACAGGGTCTTCTGAACGCGTTGAACAGAAATCCGAGTATGTTTAGCATGTGTTTCACTGGCACCTGCCAAATAAAAGATGATGCTCCAGCACTAGTCTGCTGCCATTTCTTCGACTTTAATGATAGGGAGTGTTGTGGTGGAATGTGTCGATCACTTCACCTACTTGGGGAGTTGCATCAGGCTGGTTGCTGACAAAATCTCAGCTCCGACACATAAATCCCGTTCTGTATTTGCCAACTTGCGTCATCTGTTGCATTAAATGGTGATATATCCGTCTATGTATCAAAGGACGAGTATACTGCGCTGAAGTTCATTCTGTCCTGTTCTGCAGCTGTGAGAAATGACCGTTAAAAGTAGAAGATAGGAGGTGGTTACAGGGTTTTCATCATAGGTGTCTTAGTATCACTGCTCGCGTTTGGTGAAATCACCTTGTGAGCAATGCTGGGGTGAGGCGAAAGGTACTAGGAAAGACAGGCAATTCAACTGATGAAGTTGTGGACCTGAGTCGACTGAAATGGCTTGGATACGTACTGGGCATGCCGAGCCACCGCCCACCTCGATGTTTCATGCTGGAGTGAGTTGGATAGGTTTGAAAGAGGGTTCAGGCTGGCCAGATCAAGACCTGGTACCAGTCGACAAAGTATCTTACTACTGGCCTAAGTTGTCTGGAGAGATGTAAACTGTCTATTTGAGGGCACCGAGATGAAAGCAATCGGTGATCATTTGCCAGAAAACCAGTCGAAAGTGTAGATGCATTCACTTCTTGTAAAGCCTGAATAGTCTCACTAACCTTTTACTTGTTCTATCTCACAACTTTGTTTACTTCGATATCACTTTTCTCTTGTCCACTTATTGTTTTGTACTACTGCGAAGTGTGGCAACCTAAGCTGATCGAACTGTGTGCGAGATTCTACGTCGATTTCGTCAGTCAGTCAGTCTCCTTTTCTATATAATGACTCTTGTGGCTGGCAAATGCTAAACGGTGTCGAGCATCTGAGATGATACTCGTCACATGTTCAAAATACCAAACCATATATTTCAGGAAGGCTTTACTAAGAAGTACAGATCTTGGTCAGATATGTTTCATCACACTTCAAAATTGGTGGCTAGCTATCCTTTCGAGCACTGCGCACATCGATACGTTGCACAGCTAGGATGATGTCATCAAATATAGGGCGTGCAACCTAGGTTGGAAGTTTGACCAGTTGTACTTATATTAAGCAGACACAAACCCAGGCAGACAGTTGGATCACTTCAACGTTCCACCACCAAGAGTATGGATGGTCACAGTTTGCTGTCGACCCTGGTAAGACATGTTTAACTTTGATAGTGCGAAAAATATGCTATATTTACGGGAAATGACTACCAAGCGATTAATTGCGACTTGATTAAAATACATGTTGCATTATGAAAATACGTCGTCCCCATAATTAAGGATGGAAATCCTTTTGCCACTACTGACTTACCACCACATAACTCCTTCAAACCTATCTTAAGAATAACATCGGTAGCGACGTTGAATAGCACTGATAGTTCGTGAAAGCGCAATGATGTGGTTGTATTTTCCCCATCCTACCTCAGGTTGTTTCAAAGAGCCTACGAAGTATTGATAAACCCAACGATATTATTCTTTTTCGAGTATCGGAAGGAGTGCCGACATAAAAAAAATATTAACCTGTTATACGTGTGACTATCTAAGCATCAGTGACCTAAATAGCATCCAGTCTGCTACTTTCCAACCAGTTGTTTCTGCATGGTTTACTCATCCTTTTTTCGGTAGTCGGATACCTCGACAGAGATGATGGCAAATGTCAATTAAGTTTTCACTATCTAAGCTGAGATTTCGTCAGCAACCAGTCTGTTAGGGGTGACGCAACTCCCCAGTTAAATGATGTGCTCGACACATTCGACCACTTCATTCCCTATCCTTGAAATGGGAGTAGTTGCAGAGCAGTCGTGAGGCATCATCTCAAATATACTCACACTTCTGCTCAAGACGTGAAGACCGAGCATTTTTCCAGCGTTCTCACTTAGTAGGACAATGTCGTATGAGTACTCCTAGTTAACCACATGCCCTACGTGAAGTAAATTAATTGCTTTGAAGTCAGAGGTGCGTAAGGTTAATTCGATCTCCGGTTCGCATTTAAAGTAGTTGTTAAGATTACAGATAACGCTCAGAAGAAAGCTACAAGGGTCATCGGGTTTCACTAGCTTCTTCTGAAAT